TGATAGACAATCTAGTTGGTCGTCATAAGTTGACATAATGCGCACGCTCTGAGTCTCCATGCCAGTGACAGTGCCATGCAGAGTATGCTCTCGCACAAAGTTAAAGTGTGACACCATTGAAGGATCTTTCTTTGCAGTAGCCTGTAATGCAACTAAGCTACCCTCCCCAATTTCAGGCTAGGTATTCACCTTTACGGAGCCCATATTAACCCACCCTTCTCCACCCTCATTTCGCCTTTCATAGCCTCAGTGCCTTTTCGTATATGAGCCCTTCGCTCTCGCTCATTTTCCATATAAGTTGATATTTGCGGAGGTTGCTCCCAGACTTCGAAAATGCGCAAAAGGTTGGATCTTGAAACAACAACATTGGTAAGAACGCGAGGCAGCTTTTCCTGGCTGTAAGATCCAGTGATAGTTGAGGGCGTTAGTTTGAGTGTCGTTGCGAATTCAATACCACTAGGGGGGAGTAGTAGTATGTCGTGTCTCAAGGCATGCATTTCTCCACCCCGGTCTGTTTGTTTCTAAAGGTCTTGCCAAACAACCTCAAATTTTAATCGATTATGTAATAAGATCACGTTCTACTAAGTGGATGGATGCTCGGCGCTTGAGTCTCAAGTCTTTCAGTTCCTCGGTGAGAACAGTGTACCACGATGATGAAAATATTTAGTGCGTTCTCCAAATTGGAAAGCTCCTGAACATCCGTGTAAAATTTGAGATTGAAATCTACCGGAAAGGTAAGTGATGTTGGTATGTTGCATGGTCACCCATATGCACCCAGGTCTCCGTATTGAGCTATCAAATCAACCTTTGACAAAACATTGACATGCGGCAGTTCCAAGAGCAGCATAGTCCGGAGGGACAGGAGAAGTACGGAAACATATTCATATTTCGCGGTGTTGGTCGCATAGTGCGCATTCACAGAGATGAATTAGCGTTGTTTAACAACAGAACCAACATAATAGAACGTACCATAAACCCGATCTTCGTCAATCGTTGCACTATGCATCTCAGCGCCTCGTGATGTATGCTAAGCTCGACCTGACCGAGTACGTCAAATAGCACATATCCATCAGATCCCAGCTCTTGCAGCCGTGCATCGAGCCAATTGAAGTTGATGTATAGGTACTCCATACAGATCAGGATTCCTCCGTTGGGGCCAAGGCCATGTTGGTCCATGACATCCTGGAGGGAGATCAAAGAAGTTATATCAATTGTACATGGATAAGGCATGTTGTCGTTAGCTGGGTCAAGGTTGACAATGGATATTGGGCGATTAAAAGCAGTAAATAACTGGTACTTCAACATGTGCGGAACTTGAGCAGAAAAATACAACCACGTCCCCATTACAAACTCACCTTGCAAAATAAAGAACGTGAGATTGTATCAGCACTCTGAAACAGTCCCCGATGGTCGATCCTGTCGATGGGTCGAGTCGTCGCAGCTCACTGAAGTGTTTCACGGCAACCCAGACTGAGAGACACAATGCGAGGGCCTCCCAAACAGTGTCGAGCATCCAAACCATTGAAATAAAAAGCCGGTCGTTCACTACAAATTCATAGCTGCACGTATATGTGCCAGAGAGTATCAACTCCTCTGGTGTTTGTCTAATGAGCCGTGCTCTTCAAGTCAACAAGTAAAGCTTACCCAGGACAGTATCGTTGCCGCAATTACTCCGCAGGCGACATTTACAGCCAGGAAGTTAATAACAATGAACATGAGCATCGCTCTAGATCCCTGATACATGGCATGTAACCGAGCAATCATGATGACTTGCATCGTGTGTCAGTCAGGTCAATATCAGAGGTATTGCACCTGGGTGACTTACTACCCAACATGGCACATTTGTGCCATTCACTGCGTAGTCCGTGATAGTACCTAAAAACTTCCAATTAGTGAACACCCTCGCACTAGTATCAAAGACTCCGACTTACACCTATTAAGTAACTGTGTTGAGCCAAGTTGGATGCTTGGAAATCTGACTCACTCCCACATATGAGCATATGGATTGGATGGGAATGAGATGGTTACAGAATACTTACTGCATCTGTCATTGATACCGATGGCATATTTCTCGACACATACGTAGAATAAGGTATCCCAATATAGCGCATCTAGAACATTTTGGATTCAGCATAAGTTGCCCACCACGCTAAAGCACAACATGAAATACGAACAATAAAATACAGCACGGTCATGAGAGACCAGCATTGTCTCTGTCGCGAATTCATCGCATGCTCTTGTTTTCTTCTGATACGGCACTCTTGTCACTCACCCAAATGAGTTCAATCTAGGACACCATTCTTAGTGAGATATCTGCTCCGACAATAACATCGACGTACCTCTTGTCCGAGTGTTAAGATTGAAAATATCAGTGATTTTCGAACATTAATATTGCTCTCTCTGTTCTCATGAGTCGGTCTGATAAATTGAGCAGGGCGGATGATGATAATGAAATATATGACAAAAACATATTCTAATGCCAAGTAAACTATGGAAAGGGCAGACACAGAGACCCATCATCACGAGTGTGTCGCAATCCGAGGATCTACGTGGCAACTGGTAGATATTCAATTAGACCTCAATAGAGTGTAGCATTTCCAGAACTTACATTGTGATGTTGATCGTTTCTCTGAGTTGTGGACAAACAATATCCCAGCTAGTTACTAGCTCGGATGTGACTGAGATTACCTCCTCAAAGAAATTGGTAGCTTCCGTGCTGTCAGCTAAGTCTGAACTGTAAAAAGGATCAAATGCCCGAATAGCAGCCCAGTTCCAGTTTTCACTGAAGGCATATTGCAACTGAGGGTCAATTCAGTTAGTTACTGGACGAATGAAAGACTACTATACGCACCGTAACAATGGCGCATGCTAGCGTGTACCTAAAATTAATGAGCCCCGGTGTAGGGATTCATTTCTGGCTGGGCTTGTAGAGACTGTTTTTACCTTACCTTATGTTGGCACTTTTGTAGCTTACATAAGCAAGTTATCTTTTCACCAGTTATCAGTATGAGTCTGAGTCTTCAGTAGTTTTTCATGATATTTCCTCTCCTCTGAGCCTTGAGCCTGGTCCAGAAACCCTTTAGGGTCGAATAGCAGCTAGGTTCTGCAAGACCCAACATTGTTCAGACTCACTCTCTGAATTGTTGTACCTTCACCGGCCCACTATTGAGGACTCGAGGGCCTGCCTGGTTGTTGGAAATTTCATGACGTATGGCATCAGCATAATTGCGGGAGAGAAATTCAGCCATCAATCCTAACGGAAGAGTATTCCGAAATAGTCTCCTGTCTCCCTATATACATTCTCGAATCATCAATGGAATGGAAAAAGAATGTATAACAGTACCCACCGTTAGCGAATCATGGTAGTGTAGCCACTCATACCGTGCTTCAGGCTGTTGGGCTAGGGTAATCCTGTCGACCACGAGAGCACTAAAACTGAACTGAACCGAATCCAACATATTCGCCTGAACAAGATATCCGAAGCAGCACTTTTTCCAAAGTGATAATAGTCGGATAGGGCCGCGTACCCCAATTTCAGTGTTCAAGGACAATATTGCCAGATTTTCTTGTTGAGTTTCTGTTACGTAGTGGTCAGATACATGAAGAGTTTTGAGAATATAAATTACCGCTGATATTATTCTTGAAGGCCACAAATTTGAGGTGGCGGCCTGCTTCGGCTTTCAGTATCGCAGGGGCTAAAGTCCAAGCACGCAATATGACTATAGCAAAAACCGCTTGATGAAGATCGTTAAACATTCGCTTGGTAATCTATATGAAAGGTCAGACAAATTTTAGGTGTCAGATTTTGACTTACCGGAGCGCCGGGAAAAAATGGATGGTTGGGGGACGAAATCATATAAGGGTCATAGTTGGGGGGAGGACCTTGAGAATTATCATGGTGGACGACAGTTCCTTCTTGGTGTGACATGATATGAAGAACAGCTGGGTGTAATCTCAGGTGAGCTGCTAAGCGCACTCAACATGCTTTATATTTTGGATGGGCAATGCGGGGCTCAGGGCCTCAGCCAAGTCACACTCACTCGCCTAACAAACTGAATTGCTAGTGTTGCCGAGTACAAAAAGAGTAAAAGTTTAACGCTCGCGAAACGGAACCGAAGTCCAGAAATTCATCTGGAGCGGTGAACTTTGTGAACTCGCGTTCCGATCGGAATGTTCTAGTTTTATGAGTAATGAGTTTAACGGTGCTGACAACACTGATTTTGCTAGTAAGTACATCAAGCTTTTAGTATACTTACCCGAAATAGTCACCTCGTGGCACAGCATCGGCATTCGGTGCGATCAATTTGGGGTTCAAAGTTGAGACTCTGGCGCCGCATGCACTGACAAAGTTTCGATACATTAGTTTTCTGAATTCTAAATGGAAACATCCCTTCTAGGCGTGTGATATCAATGATTGACCGAGTAACGTCGTCAGGTATACTCGGACTGTGTCTCTGCAGGGTTTGAGGAAGCTCGGAAGAACTAAATAAGCTTTGACTGATAACGGTACTCATGAACCGAGAGTGATATGGTGTGAAGTCAGGAAGTGGTTCACGTGACCCAACTTGTAATTTTCTACACGGTCCTGCCGTGGTCGTGACGCGGCGAGACTAACGTGGACTAGGACTAGCAGTAAGACCTAAACCGCTTACAATTGTTTCAGGGTCAGCAAGTTGGGTCCTTGAAATACGTTGATTTATTCCGATAGGCCCATCATTATGAGAACCGCAGGATGTGAGCCATTTATTCTTCAAATCAACGGAAATCAACTCCCCAGGTCTGGCGTCAATCAGCGTCATTGTCTGAGACGGAACACATTGACGGGTCCATCGATATCGATACCATGTGCTCATTCCACGGACACCGAACTTTTCAGTGATTTCTGTCGACGATCTCAGGTGTAAGCTTGGGCGTTGGTCTGAATTTCAACCACAAGTAGTACGAATTCATGCTCAGTTAATTAGATATATTCATCGTCCTTACTACTTGAATCTATGTACCACGAACAAAAAGAGTTGCACAGCCACAGACCTTCGAAGTTCTGAGTGACTTAGTCTCATCGTGACCTCATAGAGGAAGGAAAATAATCATTTCAGAATCCTTGGTTAATCTCAGAGAAGGAGCCTTCACTTTCTTTCAGGCCATGAAGGTCAAATTTTGCCACTGGTCATAGTAATTATCCACGAACTCATTCTAATAGATTGCAGTGGAGGAATGCAGCCATGGCGCACTGAACGTGATCTACCAGCACCTACGTGACCTAGAGGCCAGGCACAACTATATTGTGGATTTACTTCTTATGTGCGGGGACTTTCAAGCTATTCGCAATCACAGAGACATGCAATGCATGGCTGTCCCGCAGAAGTATAGGCAGCTAGGTGATTTCCACAAGTACGTGCCAATACCTAGTTGACATAAACATGCATTGATACACTTTTCTCTAGATACTATACAGGAGAAAAGACTGCTCCGGTGCTTACCATCGTAATAGGCAGGAATCACGAGGCATCGTATTACATGTCAGAACTGTATGCATCCGCTCCGTGCGCCACCTATAAGGATATACTTATTTACTCTCACAGGTATCATGGCGGGTGGCTTGCACCAAACATATACTTCCTCGGGCATGCCGGATGCATCCAAGTGAATGGTATCCGTATTGCTGGTGCGTCTGGAATTTTCAAAAGTAATGATTTCAGTCTAGGTGATTCTCCAATCATGTTCTCGGATACTCCACATTAAACACATGCAGGTTTTTACGAAAGATTACCTTACGATCATGGCACCATGCGAAGCATATATCACATCAGGGAATTTAATGTTCGTCGTCTGTCCTTGGTGCGTGAATTTTAGTCTTTGTGAGTTCTTGATCTCACATTGGATACATCACAGTTATCCTCCCTGGATATCTTCCTTTCTCATGATTGGCCCCAATACATCGAGCGACATGGTGATACTCAGGGCCTCCTTCGCCGCAAACCATTTTTTAGACAGGATGTACAGACGGGCAACCTGGGTTCCCCTCCTTTAATGGGGCTCTTGCGGACACTGAAACCAAAATGGTGGTTTTCAGCGCACTTGCATGTTCGCTTTCAGGCTACCGTACAGCATGAACAAACCGGTACTGGATCAAATTCTCTGCCCACGACTTCGCCACCACAAAACCCAGATGAAATAGCAATTGCAGATGATGATTTCGATGCAGTTGAATCTCAGAATCCTCCAATTGAATATTCTCATTTGCAAACGACTTCTCACAATCCTGATCAAATAACCCTAGAAGAGGAAGTTACACAATTGCCTCCCATCGCTTGTCGGCCACAGCCATCTATGACAAACTTCCTCGCATTGGATAAATGCCTTCCAAACCGAGAATTTATGGAGGTATGTGGCTTTGTGTCGATAGGGCATGGTTCTGATAATTTCTAATATAGGTCATCGATGTGCCTACCACATCGGATGAATCTACCATGCCTGGACAACGCTGTGTGCCGAAGTTAACCTTCGATCCGGAATGGCTGGCAATATCACACGCTTTTCACCCATTCTTCTCCATGAGGCGGCGTCAAGCAGATTATCCCAATGAAGCAACAGCTCGTGCGATGGTTGCCGAAGAGATGGAATGGGTCAAGTCCAATGTGCGCAATAACGAAGTAGACTCTTCCGGTGTCCCTCTACCTGGCATCCGAACCATTTTGGATTGCCAGACATTCGTGCAGAGCGCCCCTGGTCCTGGAAGTGAAGGAGCTCAAAAGAATCAACAACGTGAGAGTACTGATTCCTTGAGATATATTAACTGACATTGGTTATGCAGCACCTTGGTACACTAATCCTCAGACTACCGTTTTTTGCGATATGCTTGACATTCAAAACGTGATTGATTTCTCTTTGGACAATCGGGCCTAAGAAGCTTTCCCGACGACAAGTGCATATCTCACATTCAGATCACTCATGCTTTCTACGTGTTTTCCGAACTGCACGTTCATGTATATGTAGCTTGCTTGCGCTCGTTTGCCCCTCCCTTGTATCAGTACTGGGACTTGGTTTGCATTGAGATTGTGTGACTAAGCTTCCAAATATGGTGTAATTACAGTGACCGTCACGCTGTGACAGGAGGGGGGGGACGCCTCTGAGGTTTCTCTGGGTGTATGTGCTATATTCTAGTTTTGCACACCTCTTGTCAACAAGCATCCATAATATACTTTCCCAAACACAATTGTAATTCATTATTCGACTTTCAATTGACATTTTCTTTCAATCCTTGATCTTCTGCGCGCTGGGCTGTGTTTCCCTGTAATTGACGAAAACCTGTTGGAATTTGTCAGGACTCGTCTAAATCTCGTTGAGAATAACGCAAGGACGAGGAGTTCATTAGCCTTCCTAGTGACTGAATTGCAAGTGTGTTTGTGTTTACAACGACAATCCGCCAGATCCACTTATACCTTCGTCTAAAGTCCCTTGCTAGCGAGTCTAGGAGAAAGCATCCAGAAATATGCGAGGTACGGCGGAAAGTGCTCATCCCATGTACTGGCGTCTTACTATGTCCACGCAAAGGCAACAGAGAAGTCGCTTGCGATACTTAGGTCCTCTCTGGAGCAAGCGGCAGCATCTTTGGCATCTGGTACGTGATTCCATTCAAACGTGCCTCGCTTTCTTCATCGTTCACCCACAGACAGCGCACAGTCAGATGATCTTCTCCGTCCAGTGTTCAAGGGGTGTGCGACCAAAAACGCGAAAGTCATTGCCATCTCGTTGGGATTGCTGCAGCGCTTGATAGCCCTCAAGGCTGTACCACAGTCTGTTGTTCCACTCATCGTAAGCACGATGAACGATGCCATGAGCCAAGACGTGGACATTCAACTTCGGATCCTGCAAACCTTAGTCTCTTTGATCACTAATTCTCTTTCGATACACGATGAGCTCCTGGAAGAGGTACATTCTGTCTATACTACCTGCTACCTATCTGATTACCTTCACTGGAGGGTCACCTACATCTAGTTCTCCGGTGCGTCAATCAATTTCTTTATCTTTTTTTTGTTCAGTTCTTGGTTCAGGCCCTTCTTGAACCGGAACAGGATTATTATCAGACTGAACTGATGGTTCGGTCGATGGGTTTGCTTGTTGGGAGACCTTGGCCAGCCCCATCCATCACTACCGCTGAGTCGTTTACATTTTTCGAGTGTTCTTTGTCATGTCTCCATGCTGCCTAACTTCGTAGAGCCATAACCATCCAATATAATCTTTGCGTGGTATCCGCGATCCCGATAGCCCATCTGTCCCTCATCCATATTAATACCCGGCCTCAGGATTATTTTATCGGCGACATGAACATTTGCTGTTTAATCTCTCGTGCCCTACTGCCACCTCTTGGTATCTTTTTTAGTAATAATTACGGACTTTTATTGCCTATACCTTGCTACCCTGACCAAACTCTTTCCGCTGTGATACTAAGTTTTGGAACACGTCACTTGTGGGCTGTGTTACATGCACTTTGCTATGTTGTATTGTGTACTCTGTTGTTGTGTATTGCGCACCCTATGTTGTATCGCACACTGAGTAGTGTATCATGCAAATATTAAAGTTGGCTTTGGAGCGTGATACTTCAGCAACTCAAACAGAATAGTGTTCGAGATACAACCATCATTATATACATGTACACACGTAGCAGATCACGAATATGACCCTTACGATCAGCAGAAGACACATACATAGAACGCGCACGCACGAGCTGGGAGGCCAAAAAGTCAAATGCAATGAACTACTATACATGCAGGACATCATATGATAAGAATACTATATACATATCAACTTACGTGGAGGTTGCCACTACTGTTGCCACTACTGTTGCCACATGTTAATACAGAGATATAATTATGAAATGTGTTGTTACTGCAATGTTGGCTTAGACGTCCCCTTCCTGCGATTGCAATGACCACAAGGTTTGTTCCGCCTCGAATTCCTTCCACTTCCAGTCGTCCAACTCCTCACCCAATGCTTTTAATAACGACAGAAATTGTTCGAATCTAGCTTGAGCAGCCACTCGGCCACCACGAACAGTGTGATGCGTGCTCTTTGCTAACTTTAATAGTGACTTCCGGTCAGAACTGCAGAAGTCGACCATGGAGTACTGCAAGTAATATATAGTGAGCAGTTTCTCAGCAGCCAATAGAGTCCAGACTTACCATGTGACGGAAATATTCATTGTTTGCAACCTCTATGCCATACTGCCTCATTGGACTGCCCACGCTCCCTGCACTGTGCCCACTGGTTGGACTACCTGTGCGTCTTAAAAGGGAGGCCCTCGGTAGACCCGTTGATGTCTGAGATTGGAGGGACATTTGAATTATACTGGGGGATCTTGAAGGTGAGCGCACATCAGGTGATACTATGACGGGGGATGAGAGAGCAGGCGTGGACATTTGGAGATGTGATCCCTCTGGACGAGCGCAAAATCCGGTAACTAGGACCGTGGTTGCATCCAAGGAGATTTCAGTACAAATTTGTAGCGGAGATTTTAAGATACATACGGCATGCACCAAGAGCTGAGTTGGCTCCGCTCCTTCAAGGAGCGATTTTGATTGGCTAACTGTGCTATAGATATCGGCCAATTAGAACTCTTCACTGCTCTTCACAAATGATTACCTGAAGGTGCGGAAAAGATCCGGCACGATATACTCAGTCTGGGTTTAGCTCAAGGGTTGCTGAAGGTGAGTAGGAAATGACGCCCGGTCTATTGACAGGCTTAAATACCTTCACTTTTGGGAGAAACGACACTGCTCATAATCATGTCACCATACTTCAAGTTTCAGGGCCGCTGCTATAGCCACGACTCTCACATGTCTGACCGTAATGACGCAGCTGAAGCGATCTTGCTCGGTGTCAGTGCCAGTAACTCTACTACGGACAACTTGAACGCGCCGGAGGACGTCTTTGCAGGAGTCGCTTTCAGTGACGACTACATTTGCACTCCTGGGGCGGAGAATTTGGCATATGGCCGAGCTGCTCCAGATGTAGACCGTGCCATGAAGCTTGTGGAGCAGTTCGAAGAGGAATACCAGCAACTGAAAAAAGTAAGTGCATATTCTGTCCGCCGTAGCACCAAACATACCTCGTTGCGGTTTTTCAGAACGTTGAGGATTGGAATGCTCGAGTTAAAGATACCACTAAGATTTTGCCCATTCTGAAGAAAAGGCAAATTGCATTGGACATCGTGAGTAATGTTGCGTATCCTTCTACAAATCATTTATTTTTGACAGACACCCTGCAAGTCTGGGCACAACAGGACCAACTCTCCCGAATGCGCTTCTGCTACAGGTTCTATTGCGCCAAAGAAGTGCAGACGGCTACAGACACCGTTTGAGTTCAGTCCACGCCCAACCCGGTCCAAGACCATCATTCAGGCAATATCTAGCATCGAGGGTGCTATTGAAAGACAGACGTTGGTGCTGTCTAGGATCTGTGAAGCTTTAGGCGACGGTCACTGAATTTTCGACTGGTGGTTACTATACCTGAGTTGATACATTTGTATTTGGTCTTTACTGTTGACAAGCGCTCCGATCACCTCCGGATGGAATTCTTAGAGTTGGACCAACTGAGTTGACGGAGGGTACCATTTCCAACTTCGACATTGTCCCCACTGTCACAGACAAACCTGCTAGCGCATCGACCGGTCTATTTCCTATGGAGGTCCCATCATTTGTCTGAGACTGCTGGTATTGTCGACACCGGCACGACTCGTTCTCATCACCTTCAGTAGGATAAGTCACTCATAAATGCAACGTCCAACACTGACTTGGAGCCTGAGAATGTTAGATGCGTCTCCCAGTACAGTACTCCTGCGAGAATACAACGGTCGTGACGGATTCGTGCTGCAATGTCGTGCAAGGCGGGCTCGTGCTACGGGCGCAGACTGGAACACATATACAGCCCCAGCAAACCACAAGACTACTGAGCTCACAGGCTGCAAGTCTAGATGCTGTTGACGTGAGTGCATTCCTTCTTAAAGACACGAACTCGATGTGCACTACCTTGTCGTTACGATGTCTCATACCACACATATACAGGTCATTCCCCTCGTACCTCCAGATTGGCCACTCGGTTCCCTTTCTCCTTTCCTGACTCACTCATTCCGACGTACACTCCACGCTAAGCATGAGGGGGCATTATTTCCCTACTATCAGTGTCGTACGTACATGAAGAACTCGTCTTCCCGGTCGCTTTCTTACCAATCATCAATAAATGACAGCCCCCGGAAGCCGCTTGCTCCACTAGCGAACAACTCTTACAGTTTTTAGAGGTCACGCAGAGGGATATTGGTAGGCTTCCTTTGTATGTAATTGTCAGTCTCGCATGGTATTGACGGTGGCCTGATGTGGTCGATTCATGTGCGGCGAATCTAGATTATTCGTGCACAAAGGCAGAGATGCATGCCTCCCGATATGTGTATCTTATCAGCGTCGAGAAAGGTATTTTGTTCGTATCCACTTCGTCGCTTCTGCACAATGCCCCTTTTGTCATCTAGATTCTAGGTGCATCTGCCAAATTGCCTCCGACCCCACTTTGCAATCACACTTCTCTCTTCACATTACGAATATCTTACTGGTGAGTCACGTTCATTCTGGGCTAATTGCTGTGCTGCTTGACAACACAGCATACAGGCCTCACACACAAGTGTCTTGCCTTCACATATTCATTCGGATATCACATGCTTCAGATTTTGGAAATATTTAGTCTGGTCATCACATAAAAAGGGATCGTGCTGTCAAGGGTTCCCCATCCTCTGCGCCCTCCACTTCTCTAACTTTCTCCATGGCTATAGAATCCTCCTCTGACCACGATGATGCTGCTGCTGTCGTTCGTGCTAAACGACGTATTGCGGCTCTGGAACAGGAGGTTGAGGTTCTCAGGGCCAGTAACAAGCGGGTCAAGCCGTACGTTTTTGGCCTCTTTTTGACTTGATACTCTCATTCCAAATGTGCACAGGCAAATCGACTCTAACGTACACAAAGGACGAGCCATCCGTCGGCTTGTGTCCTTGTTTGATGGACTCGAGGACCTCATAGCTGAAAACGACTGACGTGAAGAGTTGCTGGACTCATTGGATTTGCCAGATCAGCTTGTTTCTACTCAAGAGTGAGTGCTTCTCTCTGTTTGGCCCGTAACTCCCTTAACTTGGACCAGCGAGGACAGGACCATCAGATCGTTCAATGAACTACTTCGTTGCCTTCCCTGGCTCAAAAAAAAACTTTCGTCGGATGTTGATGAACTTGATTACATTTTGAAAGATGTAAGTTCTTACTTCGGGAATTATTTCTGTATCGCTGATCCTATGTTGTTAGCTGCGTAAGGGCGCGGACAGCGCCCGAGGGGATGATACCGCCAATCTCAAACATGTGATTGTCGCGTGGCTCACTGAACTTTTTCATCCCCTGGACCCGCCCCTTCACACGAATATCAAAGACGATCGCGGGTTCATCCATCACATCACTGGCAAGCTCTTGTGTCCCGTAGAGTATACTTGGTCTCTCAATTCGTAAGTGCCATCTGCACGTGGTAGTATTAATGTATTCACTGCCGCAATAGGACTAAGGAAAAAATCAGGGACAGGGACCCTGACTTTCTTGTCACAGCATACTCTTGGCCAGCAATGTTATACCTGGATTACACTTTTGACTCTGGCAACATCGAAAAGGGACTGTTTCATTCGGCTCTGCTTCTCAAGGTAAGTCGTGCTATTTCAAATGGCCAACACTGCTTATTTGAAACAAAGGCCTTCAAACATATATTCACATCTCCATCTTCTGCCAAAGAAGTTGATGGTGATGGTGATGGTGCTGACGCTATTGTAGCCTCTCAACGCCGCCAGTCCTCTGAGAGCGACATGACTACTCGTAGTCACGTGGCAAATATTATCGGCATGAAGTCGGTTACCCCACGATCCATCGCCTACACCGCTTGCCAGGTTCATGTGAGCGCCTTCACGTATTTTTTTTACCTTCAGGGCTAACTTTTACTTATAGCTTCGGTTCTCCCTCTCCAACGTCAATTCCTGGCGGAGTATTGACGGAGACTTCGACTACTACGTGTTCTACAACAACATTGTTGATTTTTTCGAAGTCGCACCTGGCATTGACACACAAGCCTGCATCAAGGAGTTGCTAAAGTGGTGGAACAGGTAATATTTATAGGACATTGGACTGAAAGGACAAGTCTCAGCGTGTTGAGTAGAAACACTATAACATTCATAATACCTGAAAGGACAAGTCTATAGTACGAACACAATGAGAAAGGGACAAAACGTAGAGACGGCGTGATACGTACCTCAGCGTGTTGAGTAGAAACGCTGAGGTGTAAACTAAGAGGGAAGGCGAGATTATAAACTATGTTACAGAGTCCGGGATGCCATAGTACGAGAAAGGAAATGATGACGAAGTAGAGAAGCGATGACGAAGTTGATTCCAACACACCCCCTCAACGAGGCATTCAACGTGAAACGAGCGCCAGCCCCGAACGATGCAAGACAAAGGCCGGACGCGGAAGAGCTTTGGTGAATATGTCGGCTGTATTTTGGTGAGTTGAAAGCCATATTGGCGTTATTGTACCCTCCTCGATATGTCGTCTGATAAAGTGGTACCGAAGATCGATATGCTTCGTTCGGATGTGATTTGCGGCTTCTTTCGACAGAGCTATCGCGCCAGCATTATCTGCGAAGAGTTGTAGGGGCAAGGGCAGAGGGAAATTAAGACATTGGAACAGAGATTTGAGCCATAGCCCGTCCTGCACTGCTGCGGTGAGCGCCATGTACTCTGCTTCAGTCGATGACAACGCTTGCGTCGTTTGCTTCTTGGCCGAGTGCGACAGAGGACCACCGTTTAGGAACCACACATATCCGGAAATCGACACACAATCTTCCGGACAGGAGGCCCAATCGGAATCCGAGAAGCCACGAAGGGCAGCGTTGTTTCCAGCTCCCCCATAGTGAACGCGCAAGGTCACTGTGCCTGCAAGATAACGCAGGATGTGTTTGGCGGCTGCGTAGTGCCTAGGCTCGGGTTTCGAGTTGTGTTGCGCAAGTCACATCACGGCCAAGGCGATGTCTGGTCGCGTGTACATTGCGAGGTAGAGAAGCTCGCCGATGAGCTTGCGAAATGCTGTAGGCAGATCCTCGACGTGGGGAAAGGCATCGTTTGGACGACCGAAAGGAAAAATGGGATCCATTGGCAATGATACGGGGTTGCAGGCAGTCATTCCGTGTTCCTCAAGTAAGTGCAAGATGTAGTCTTCTTGATGCATCCACAGTTCGCGCGTCTTACGCTCGCGGATGAACTGAATGCCGAGGTACTTAGAGACTGCACCGAGATCGGTGATACCAAAACGCTCGGCAATCTGCGCTTTGGTACGGTCAAGGAACGCACGATTATTGGACCCCGCAAGTCCATCGTCAACATGCCACGCAATGATGCATGTTACCCTCACCCCCTCACCATTGACGTGGTCGAAAATAAACACCGCATAGTCAGCGTCGCAGCGAAGAAAGCCGAGGTGAGTGAGCACTTCGCGCAGGAGTTCATACCAATCATACGCGGCCTGCTTTAGGCCGTACAACGAGGAGAGGAGATGCGCGACTAAGCGAGCGCCATCAGATCCAACACGCTCAAATCCAGGGGGCTGACGCATGTAAACATTCTCCTGTAGCTTGCCCCACAGGAACGCACGCTTCGCGTCGAAGCAATCTAGCTCCCAATCGCACGCTGCTGCATGTGCTGCGAGCACTCGGATTGACGCGGACTTGGCGACGGGGGCAAAGGTGCGTCCAAAATCGACGCCGGGAATCTGCGAGAACCCCTGCGCAACTAACCTAGCTTTGAAGACCGATCCCCCCTTCAAGTCTTCTTTGAACTCGAGCACCCATCGACACCCGATCGCTCGTCGTTCCGCAGGTAAGGGCATCAACTCATAAACGTTCATTTCTGACATCAGATTGATCTCTTTCCTCATTGCAGCTAGCCAATGGTCACTATCCGGGCGTCGCATGGCTTCGTCGTAAGTCGCGGGCGGGATGGCGAGGTCATAACCGTTTGCAAGGGGATTACGTCGTGTGTCGCTGCGAATCGCCAGGGATGCAACCTCAACGACGATGAGATTCGCAATGACCTGCGGGAAACCCACCTCCTCGCTCTCAGGCAAGATGGCGTCAGGGTCTGTGGGAATAGGAGTGGGCGGTCCTGGCATCGGCGTTGGCGTGGTGACGATGGGTGGATCCGACGAGTCAGTGTTCGCCGAAGAAGGTGGGATACCATTGACTTGCGCGGCTCTAAGCTCACGCTGACGTGCTAACCTTGCCTTGTCAGCTGCCACACAATCTCTCAAGGCATGTCCGCGTTCAGTAGGTACGGGGATCCGACCTGAACGATGAAGTGTCGCGGTGTGAGGAGGTTCAGATGAGGCCGTTGATGAAGGAGGGACGGATGGTGGAACGGGGGCTATTACCTTGGATGCGGTAGGAGTGTCCTCATCCTCGTCGGTGTCCGGTGCGTCTGCAGGATTCTCGTCGAATATGACATCGCGGGAGTTGAAGAACCCGCCCGTGACCACGTCGCGGCAACGCCAAGCTTTCACGCCAGGCGGATACCCCATGAACAGTGCCTTTCTCGAGCGCGGCCCCAGTTTTTCCTGCAACTCCGGTGGAATCTGCGCGAAACAACGCGCACCGAATACGCGAAGATGACTGAGATTAGGCTGGCTCCCGTGCAACATTTCATATGGCGTCTTGCCCGGGGGTAAAGCCCGTGATTCCGTGCGATTAAACAAGTAACACGCGGTGAGTGCGGCCTCACCCCAGAGAGACGGAGGCAAACGCGCGAAGTCCAACATCGCATACATACGACCTTCGATCATACGCATCACCCTCTCTGCCTTACCATTTTGCTGATGAGCGTATGGGGCAGAGCGTTGACGTTGGACCCTGGCATCTTCAAGATCTTTCGTAAAGGCATCACTTAAGAATTCCCCCCCGTTGTCCGAACGGAAGGTCTTGACTCGTTTCCCTGAAATGTTTTCCCAACGCGCTTTAAGCGAACGCCATGCTTCCAATGCTTGATCCTTGGAGGCAAGCAACTGAAGGTCAAGTGCGTGGGTATGATCGTCAATAAAGATGATAAAGAAACGTTTTCCGTGTGGCGTTATAGTCGGGATGGGTCCGCAAACATCTGAGTGTATCAGGTCGAGAAAGCTCTTCGAGCGTTGAGTCTCCGAAGGATGAAAGGGTTGTCGTGGGTGCTTCGCTAAGATGCAGGACTCACAGTGTGACAGCAGAGTAGTAGAATCAATCGTGACACCCTTAGCGATGTGCCCAAGCCGCATCACGGCCTCCTTCCCAATGTGTCCAATACGTGCATGCCATAGGTCAAGAGTGAGAGCGACGTGTGCGAACGCAGATAGTTCCGGATTGCAAATGGGAGCACACAATGACAATGTGGGGTGAATGAACTCGAGGTCGAGTGCATAGAGCTTTCCTGTGGCCGGAATTGCACCCAGGTTCTTGCCTTTGTGAGTGAGCTCGCAAGTCATGTTAGACTTAAAGCTGACGTCCCAACCTTTCACGTTCATGCAGCTGACGGACAACAAGTTAAGCATCGCATTGGGCGCATGCAGACAATTGGAAAGCTTGATGCACAAGCGCCGTTTCCCGATGGTGAGCCAGGCCACACATGTACCGCGACCTGCGGTTTCTAGTATGCCATGATTAGCCGTGCGAACAGATATTGATTCTTCTGTAGAATACGAGTGGAAGAAGTGCCTGTCTTTGACGAGTGTGACGGTCGTGCCCGAATCTAGTATTGTGGCGAATGGGAGGGACGTGGCACAGGCAATGTCATCCGGAACCTCCGCAATCGAGGCAAACAACATGTCTGTCATCAGACTGTTTAGACCTGCCACTGCAGCTGCAATGGCTGGAACGGGAGGTGAAAGGGACAAAGAAGGCGTAGGTGCCATTGGCGTGGTGGCAACTGCCGCGACTGGAGTTTCTTTTTCTTTCCGTTTGCTATTGCGCATCCATGGCACTTGACCTTCCATGCCACCCCCTTTTCCGTAACAGTGCGCGTGATCGTGGTCTCCTTTATTACAGCCTGGCGTCATGCAGAAGATTCCGTCTGGATTGTGTCTATGTTTCCGCAGCCCAGTAATAGGGTTGATGCCAGGTGCACTCGTGCTTGTGGCGGCCGCGTGGGCATATTCAGAGCCGGGACGGGCAGAATGGACAGCATGTGCGTGCACATGGCGCGCGGCTTCAGCGGTGATTCGAGAGACACAGCTCTCGACAGTGAAGGTGGAAGGATTTGTGGCAGTTGCGAGCATGATTTCATCGTGCATGCATTGCTCGAGCATGGACTTGAATTGTTGCCAGATCGGAGTCTGAGGAAGTCCAATGAGCAAGCTGTAGATAGCATCCCCGTCTCGCAGAGGGGCACCGGAATCATGGAGCCATTCGCGAAGCACAGCGTGCTGGCCAACGTAATTCGTTGCATCTGCAGAATCCTTCATGTGAAGGGCATCAAGACGTTGACGTAGTTGGTACTGAGCGCTTGTATCTGTGCGATTGAAGTGTTCTGCGAGAGTTTGCCATGCCTTGCGAGCGGTGACAGTGTGAGAGCGTGATACTAGCGAACCAACAGATGGACTGAGACAGCGCGTAATTAAATCTTTAGCCTTCATATTGTTTAACAGCCATTCACGCATCGTCGCCAATTCGGCGGGCGTGACGTTGGCTGGATCAGCTGGAACAGGCATTAAGGATGGTGTTCCGAGAATATCTGCGGGGTCAGCAGTAGTGTTGATGTGGCACCAAAGATCCTCGCAAGCTAAGGCATATTGAGTCTTTGTCGACCAACCAACATAATTTTCTGAGCCTAGCAATTCCGGAATATGATCGTACTTTTCCATGGCGATATCGCTGTGGGGGAGGAGTATGATGAGATATGGTGCACGAGTGGCGGTTCAACGTGAGTGGATTTTTGTCCTTTGTAGTTCCGTCTGATGGCTCAGTAAGAGCCAGGGCTCATAACCTATAGGACGTTGGACTGAAAGGACAAGTCTCAGCATGTTGAGTAGAAACGCTATAACATTCATAATACCTGAAAGGACAAGTCTATAGTACGAACACAATGAGAAAGGGACAAAACGTAGAGATGGCGTGATACGTACCTCAGCATGTTGAGTAGAAACGCTGAGGTGTAAACTAAGAGGGAAGGCGAGATTATAAACTATGTTACAGAGTCCGGGATGCCATAGTACAAGAAAGGAAATGATGACGAAGTAGAGAAGCGATGACGAAGTTGATTCCAACAATATTCTCATTTTTTCACGCCCCAACTGGTCTCATTCCTGACAGGAAGGTTTTTGGAAAGACTCGGACTATACCTCTTACACCAGCGCAGCTTGGGAGGTTCTCCGTGTCTAGGATGACTTCGCAGAGGGCTGTTCATGAGGGAGGTTCTCCTTAAGGCTGGACTGCGCAACTATATAAAATTCTTAGACTGTAGACAGATTGGTTCCAGAATATATATTCTTTATTTGTTCAAATCAGCCGATTCTCAATACTAAGCTACATGTTTCAATTTCATTGGTAGGATATAAACGAGGCAACGCACACGACGCGCCCATAACGAGGCAACGCGCACGACACGCCAATGACAAGGCAACGCGCACGACGCGCCCATAACGAGGCAACGCGCACGACGCGCCAATGACGAGGCAACGCGCACGACGCGCCCATGACGAGGCAACACGCACGACGCGCCCATAACGAGGCAACGCGCACGACGCGCCAATGACGAGGCAACGCGCACGACGCGCCCATAACGAGGCAACACGCACGACACGCCCATAACGAGGCAACACGCACGACACGCCCATAACGAGGCAACGCGCCCATGACGGGTCAAACCTGGCAGTACCCTAACTGATAGGAACATATTCCATTTAGAAGCAGAAATGTAGAAATATAACAAAAATAATTCATCGAGTTGACGTAGTTTCATTCATGGACAGCTTTACCTAGAATGGTCATCGACTGCGGCTCAAACTGACTTTGTGTACCCTGAAAAAAGTTGTATGTTGTTCCCGATCCTCGACCATATTGCTGATGCTGGCGAGATGTCGACTGTAGATAGATTTATCATCCATAAATGCACATGTCTACTGTCCAGTGGAATTAGTCCCTCGCCGAGAGAGGTAAGACATGATGCTCTCGTAAAGACTGAGCTTTGCAACCAAGTGCTATTGCGTCTTCAATGGCAAAATTTATACTAACTGTGACCCCAGAATCAACTTGCTCATTCTGATGGCAAAGTACAATGCCTCAACAAAACTCGTGATACCTTACGTATTTTCCTAATCACTGCACAACTCTCACGTACAAAGTCATAAAGACTCAGTGATATATTCTCCGCATAAAGGGTGATGGATTACAGTTCACCCTAATTAATTGTAATACTTCCTATGTTAAGATAATACAGGAGAAATATTAGTGTCCAGCACCGCTGTACTCTGAATGTGTAGCTTTAGGAAAGGAGGGTTCCTGTACATTCCAGTGCATGGGCTGATAGTTCAACTTGTCTATATTACACTGATTATGGACATTACAAGCATTATCGGGGTATATATTCCATGATCCAATTTTTCACGGTACAATGATGTCAGCGGTGGAGTGGTGAAGCGGCCCGCGCCGAGAATTACTTTGCTCTTGTTCCTTCAATTCGGTTGTGCTACCTGGGTCTATATATATAGTATATATACTCCTACTGTATGCGATGAACCTTGCAGAAGACGGACCACCTATTTCTTATGATTCTGACGCCTGGAGAAAAAGACAGCAATGTATGATGATCATTCAAAAACGACACCAGCAGGATTTGAACCTGCGCACGGGAACCGTAAGAGATATCACGTGTTCGAATCTCTCGCCTTAACCACTCGGCCATAGTGCCTCCGTAGTTTTGCCGGCTCTGCGCCACCATGAAAAGCTTGCGTTCTTACAATTTAGACATCATCACCGTTTAAGCACTCCAATTCTTGCACAAGAACGATGGACTGGTGCGTCACTCGACTTCTCGTTCATGCTTCATCTGATGATGCTATTATAGCTTAGAGTTGAACATCCGCCAGCGGATTCTGTCGGACCTTGCTACCCTCGAAACAGAAACAGAAGAGGACATCCTTACTACTCGTGA